TTTATTTCCGCTGAGCGGCGCCTCTCTCTGACGTCACTCTGCCCGAGCCGTACGAATGCGCGGCTAACGAGCTGCGCGGGTGGTTCCCCGGCCTGCACGCCGCCGCTGCTCCCACCTCCTGCGAAGCATAAGTGAGTATTTCCTCTGGCTCTGGGCCGGGGTCTCCCGCTAGTCCCGTTGTCCCTGGGACAGTATGCTATTGCTCCATCCTATGGAGACCTTTGTACCTCAATTCTCTAACCATACTGTTGACAGGTAAAGCAAGAAGCTCATTGTTTACCCTCACTAAACAGAAGGCACACAATAGGTTTAATTTTAAGGAAGTCAACTTCAGTATCCTTTCAAATTAATTTTATAAAATTGGAATTAATTTTTCTATAAGATAATAGTGTTGCACCCTTTTGACGTAGGTTATAAACGAGCCTTTTCACGTTGAATTACATTTTTTTTTTTTTAGTTTCTGGCTATAGAAATTTGCATGTCAGTGTGCTAGAATTGGTACCGCACTGGAAATTAATGCAAACCAAAGAAATTGGTGTAGTTTAATCTAGTAAGCATTTTAATGATTTTTTTTTGTACATTGTGTATAATACTTTTTCTTTATCTTTTCAGACTTGATGGCTTTTCTTTTGAGTAAGTATAAACCTTTCAGTAATTAGTTTTAATTCAGACTCTAAGAGAAGTACAATTTTTATATCCGGTTTTCTCGTGTAGTTTTTGGGTAGAAGCTAAGCTAGTATTAAGCCAGGTTTAGAAAGACTTACAAATCCACATACACTGGTTGCACCAGTTAAAGAATGTCTGCTTGTTTAGTTTAAATTTGTTCATCCTCTGTTTAGACAGGCTGTTTGGGTTTGCCTAACTATGAAAATTGTACTGGTTTAGTCCCTTCCACAATGTGATCGCATTTATTTCCAAGTAAAGATATTTATACCGGTATAAAGAGAAGGGGAATATGCTATACCTGTATTAATTCCTGTGTTTAATGTAAGTGTACACAGTAGGGTTGTTTAAAAATTTGGTTTGGTTTTAATATATCTCACTCGAACAGTAAGTTAAGTTAGTATAAAAGTTGTATGTAAACCAAATTATTGGGTGGGTTTTTTTCTGTGTCCCCCCCCCCCCCTCATTTTAATCTAAAAATATATTCATGCTAATTCTGTTGAGAGCTCTTTTAGTGGACAGCGGGGGTGGGGTGGGATCCATAGGTGACATGTTTGTGCCCCCGTTTGATTCCTCCTCTACTTAGTTTGCCAGCAAAGCCCTATCTGGCCTGACTTGACCTGGCCTGGCCCCTTCAGGCCAGTGATAGGAACTATCCTCCCCACATTGCCCCCAACCTTGCGAAGAATATTGGCTGCAGACCCGCCAACCAGTATGGATACTTGATGAGCATTCTTTGGACATCCAGTCACATGGCACACAAGTCCACACCCTTGTTGTCAAAATCCTATATTTGCTGTTGGTGGATAGTGACATTTCTGAAAGCAAGGGTTTCCTGCTTCAACTTAGAAAATATTTCAGCATATTTGATTATATATTTCACCTTTCAAAATATTTGATTACCTGCAAGTCAATACGAGCTTAGCAGAGCACCTTTTATCATGGATATCCCTTTGTCTGAGTAGGAAAAGGATGAGTGGAAGGAGGTATAATACAGAGAGAAGGTCAAGATTTCCTTGTCAGAAAGGAGGTGTAGCAGTTTCTGTCTGTGAATATATGTATGTACTTTGCCAGTCTGCAACTTGCATAGACATTGAATTTTGTTAGAAGTCTTGTTAGGTTGTGCAACACAAATGAAAACTCTGCAGTTTTGTGATTTCAGTATATTTAATTGGATAGAAATAGGCCTTATTTATGGGTAACTGAGTACTAAAACAGGATAAGAAATCAGCTGAAGCTACAGCTAGGAAATTTGAAACATGGGAAATCTTTTTAGATCAAAGTATCATAGTAGCAGGCAGTTCAGACATAATCCCTACTAATTAAACCAGTTACTAAAGCTAGAATGATGTGAACTTTCTTGTGTGTATGGGTTTTTTTTTAAAAACATTAAAGGTGTTTGTTACACTGCTTCCTATTTTCTCTTTGTAATTATTATCACCCAGTCTCGAATGCTTTTCTTAGGGTATTTAATTAAATTTCCTTTTATTATCAACTGGACATTAAAAAGTAGGCAGTTTTAAGGGCTACATTGTCCCTAGCCATTTTCAGCTATGTAGTGGATTAAAGGGAGGTAAATTCTCACTCATACAGTTTTGCTTAGCAAAGTAAAGTCTGTTCATATTGCAGCTTTAATTGCAGTATGAGTGGGTGTTGGGGCTGGAGGATAGGATTAAGAGACTGCTTGCCTTTTGTGAACAGATGGATAGACAGGGGCAAGAAATAGAAGCCTTGGCTATGCCTAGATCAGGATAATTGGTTGATCTTGTGTGATGGGAAGAATAAAATACTCCCCAAAATGATAGTCCTAAGTAGCTTCCCCAACTTTTGAACAACTGAAGAGAAATGGAGGGAGGGGAAGGTCCCATTGGGGCATAATGTTTTACAGCAACTTCTTCCAGAGTAGCATGGCTATTTAGCTTAGTCTTAGTTCAGCTGAAGGAGCTCTGTCTAGCTTTTCTCCATGACTGAAATGTGTTTGTAATTTATGATCATAGATAAACATTCTGAACCATGGTTTATTAGTCCCATTATTTTTAAGACTTTATCTTGTGAAAGGTTTCATGACAAAAAGATACACTAAATTCCAACAAAAAAAAAAAAACATTTAAAATTACTTGCCTGAGCCCTTCAGGCAGATGTCGAAAGAAAAATACCTCATTAGAAATTCTGTTATGTATCAACTTCTGGGCCATTAGGAAGAGGATCTTGAAAAATGCAATGATCAAGAAATAAGAGTAGCATGTGGGAAGAGGATCTGAAAAAAAAATTAGTGGGAGGGAGCATAGGGAAATTGTGGTTAATGGGAGGTTTATCTGTAAAACAAACATCATTTAAATATCTATTTCTGTTTGAAATTCTGAAGATGTCAACAAACTCCATGAGTTTTGTATGTCTCAAGGTACCAGAATGTCCTCTCTGGTACACTTTGGAGTTTACTGTTTCTAACTGTTTTTAGATGAACATTGAACCTAAGTTGTGTAAACTGAACACTATGCCTTCTGTGTGAGAGAGGAAGGAATTTTGCAGTTAATCTGGAAGTTGCTGAAGCAACATAAAGGGGCTGTAGGTGGGGCTAATAGGATCATTTTATTTTTTATTTTTGAGGCCCCAGTTTTCCAAAAGTAACTAGCGGTTTTGCATGTCCAATTTTTGATGGCTTAAAAGTGGTCAGTTTCCAGAAAATGTGAGTAACCACCTCTAAAAATCAATTCCTTTTAAGGTATCAAGTTCAGCTTCTAGAAATCACTACCCTTTTTTTCAAAAATGTATTCACCAGTGGCTTTGATCTTTGCCAACCCGTGATCCATAAGAACACACAGAAGGGGGGAAAAAAACAATTGTAAAATCTGCTATACTAGGTCTGCTACGCTAAACACTAGGCCTGTTTGACTGGAGTTTTAACTCGCCTATTTTAACTCGCCTATTCTCAAGCAAATAATGCTATTTGTTTGGGGAAATGGCATGTCATTTACAGTTTCAGCATAAGGGATGCCAAGATAAAGCAGTTTCTTTGGGGAAGCCCCAAGATAAGCGTGCTTTCTTGGATTCATGTAAGATAAAGGGAAATGCTTTAATGTGCTTGAAATTTAAGTGAAAAATGGGGAAGCAATTATTATGCCACAGTCAAGAGCAAAGAAAAGAAGATTGACTGTAGAAGTGTATTGTGCACCTGCTACACTGGCTTCTTAATAGGTATGAATGAACTGAAATCACCATTTCATGGTTTTCATGGAAAATGTTAAATTGGGTATTTTTCACAAAAATCAGAGAAATTCACAAAAGAAAGGAGCCCCACAAAAAAAGCAGGGAAAAGCGGGACTCCGTGTAAAAATAAAAGATTTTTCTTCTGTCATCACCATGGAGATTCCAGGTAACTTCCTTAACAGAAAGGTGGTAAAATAGTATTCCCTCATGAAACAGAATTTGAAGCATTCTACAAAACAACTGCTTAGAAAGGCAAGGATTTTGTCTTAAGTATCAGACATATTAAGAATGACAGCCGGTATGGATGCAATTCTGAGAAGCGTATATGAATGTGATCAGCACTTATAACATCGTACAGAAGTTTATATAAACAAAGTGGTCACATAGCTGATAAACAAAACAATACGTTACTAAGACAATTTTATAACCAGGTATCGGTAAAAAAAAAAAAAAAAAAAGTAGATGCCTAGGTGTACATCATTAAAATACTGATTAAATATTCCATGAGCACTAGCTCACAATTGAATTAAAAAGCAAACCTTAACTTGGGATATACTACTAGATTCCTATTAAAAGTGACAAAAGCAAAGACTTTAAAATAGGTGATGCCAACTGTGATGCCCTGAAATAAGAGATCAACAACAATTTTTTTTAGAAATATAAAGGGGAAAATTTTCTGTTTTGCTAATCTGCACCTACAAACATCACACCAGAACATGAAAACTAAGAGCTAAAAAAAAAAAATTCTACACAGAATTAGAAGTTTTTTATTTCTTTCTGACTTACCAGTGCAAGTTGTTTGATAATGGCTAAACATTTTAATGCTTTGGCGAGAAACTAGAAAGGACACATTAATAGACTAAAAAATATTGTCATAAAACTGATGCCATCAGTTTGTAACTTCTTTTACTATACAGCATATCAAATATGTAAGTTGGTTTGTTCTGGTGGAGGCAAAATTATTCCAAGATGGTTTCATCATTGCAATAGAAAAACCAAAAACTTCATACTTATGATCTTTCATGTACAATTTGTGCATATAACATTGTTTAAATAGATGGCTTATTTTTGCACTAGGGGATTAAAGGCAAAAGCAACGTTTTATGATTTAATTAATTATGTTTGATTTCATTAACAAGCATAAATAAATGCTTGTTTGATATAAGCTTTTGGTATTTGCTAATCTTACTGTATTTTTGAAAGTTTTGCTCTGTTTTTTCAGAGAAGGTATGGATACAGATAAAGATGATCAGCATGGAAGGTACTATTTAATTATTAAAGTATACATTTCCAAGCATTTCATTAGGGATGTGAGAATTGTGGTGGTACTTACATCTGTGTAAATATTACTGAAATATTTGGGCCTCTGCATATCTAAGAGTCATTACTTGCAGGATTATGGCTTATTGTTACAGCTATTATAGAAGGTAATATGAGCCTTAGGGGGGATATTTTAGCAAATTATCTAATTTAGAAATCAGAATTTAGAGAAAAATATGCATGTTAAAATATGCTGGTTAAGGTATTTAGTGTGTACAGAAGTATTGCTTTATAAACCATGTAAGATATCCTTGAGTAAGGCAGGCAGCCATTTAAATTTTGCAAGTGCCACCTATAATTTGCCATATCCCACTAATTTCAAAATTAAAGGAACTGTTTAAACAGATTTAAGAATGCCTTCTGTTTTGTGAAGGGACAGCTTTCTCTTAATTTTCTGGATCTCACCAATAGCAACCTTGAAATTGACAGAACAATGCTAATATCATTGTGTGCGACTGAAAGAGGATTGGAGAATTCACTGCCCACCCTCCATGTTAGGTGATTTTGTTTTGTTTGCCAGAGACAATATGTGGCTCACACTGTATTAGAAAATATGACTTTGTAATGCAACTTCCTTCCCAGCAGGTTGGAATACACAGACCAACAAGGCAGGATAAAAAATGCAAGGTGAACTATTTTATTTCTTAACAAACTTAATAAGTTACTTGATAAGTTTAATATTAAAAAAAACTATTTCAAGTTTAGTATGTTAGGCACAATTTGCACATATTGCTAGTTTTCAAACTCAGATCTGTCTTCCCCTGTTTGATTTTCACACATTTTGAAGTTTGAAAGATTTGTTCTTCTATAAGCTTCATGAAATTTTATTAAACAAAAGTTAGATATTTTTATTTTTCTTAAATTGTACAATTTAACTAAGAATTCCCATTAACACTGAGTAGATATTGGGTGGCTAATTCCCTGTGTCTTGCACCAAATTATTCCATGTTGTAAGTGCTAACTTAATATTGCAATGACATCTGTGTATCATTTTAGCATTAAGAGGGTGTACAGTGCTAAAATCAAAAGGCCATAGGGCATGTACTATGAAAAAAAAAATGTTGAATTTTAAAAGTGGACTATCAACAGGCACATATGATGCCCAGCACACTCTTCTTAGGTAAAAGTGGGGCTAATGGTGTCTTCTAAAATATTTTTAATGGTAATCTACAGAATTGGCTGCAACCTGTGAAGATCCTTGCCCTACAGTCCCAAAGGAACTGCAGGACAAAGCAGCAGGATTTGTCTCTGGGCTGCCAGATATGGCAAAAGTAAACTTCAAGGTAGGAGGAGCTACTTATCTCCTCCAGATAGGAACCATGCTAACCTGAATTGGGTTGTAACATTGCTGTTAAAATAATGACATGATTGGGATCAGTCTCTGGTCTCAACCAGTGGTGTGTCCTGCCATGGACATGTGGCATGGCAGGAGACATGACTATTGGGATTGGGGATCAGGTCCCAACCCATCACATCATTTTAATGTCTGCTGGAGCCAGAATTATGCACAGGAATAATGTTAAACGTTAGCATTTGCACAACTGCTTGTGCAAGTGCAGCCTTAAAACCATGAACAAAGGTTGCAAGGTGGGACCTACAATCTACTATTTAAATTTAAGTATTGTCTTTTCATTGTTTTTTTTCACAGTTCAGAATTTCATAACGCTCTTCAATACTGTTATTATTTTAATTTTTTCCTACTGTG